TTGGAGTGCCTAATTGTAAAACCAATATGCTCAAGTGGATGCTCTTAGAGGATAACAATATGCTGTGTGAATGTATAGAGACACAGAGCCTGGTCCATCTGCTGGTATGTTGGCTACTACCAGAAATATATACCAATAATGACTTATTTTTGGCTAATGACAAAGCCAAGAAGGTGGCTTCATTCTGCCAATTTAAAGTTTGATCTAGAGAAGAAGAAGAAGAAGAAGGAGGAGGAGGAGGAGGAGGAGGAGGAGGAGGAGGAGGAGGAGGAGGAGGAGGAGGAGGAGGAGAAGGAGAGGGAGAGGGAGAGGGAGAGGGAGAGGGAGAGGGAGAAGGAGAAGGAGAAGAGAAGGAGAAGGAGACAAAACTATAAGATAGTTAAAAAGAAATAATGGATGTTTCTTCTCATCTAACTCTTATTGAATTCAAACTTGGGAAAGAGGAATATATCATCATCTGCAGCATGCATCAAGATCCTTCTTATATCCATCAATAATATGCCTTCTTCTGTTTAAAAGGGACTCAAGGGGTCAGGATCTAGACCAGACTAAAGAATCAAGAACAGATCATTATCTATTCTATATGGTTTGCAAGTGGAAAATTTATTGAAAGTTTAAAGAAAAAAAGGCATAATGGAGTTTTGTGATAAAGAAACAAACAGCCAAGAATCAAGAAAGTGTTATTTTATAAGGAAATTCCATTTTTATAATAATAGTTTAACAATTCTACTTCAGCTTCTTTCCCTTTGGTTTAAATTGCTTTCTGAATTAGATGAAAATGAAAATGATAGATTCTACATTTTATGTTAAACCATGATTTATTAAACCATGGTTGGATTTCTGAATTATAATTGGCTGGATTTAAATATTGTCCTAAATAATAATTAATTAATATCTAGTACAATATTCAACTTTCTGAACTCAGAACCAAATGTTTCAGCAAACCTAAATGGATAACTGTTATTGCATAACACTGTATAGCCACAATCTGGAATGAAAAAGAAGTATAACTTATTTGAGCTACATTTTCTTCGAGGTTAAATTACTGTATTTTAGAAGTAAATGTTCCATTATTTAATGCAGTAATGTGAGCAGGTAGGGGAATAGTGAAAATCTATTGTTTTTCTTTCTTTCCCATTACTCTTTTTAATGTAAACTTATCCCTGCAGTCAGATAAAAAACTTCTGTCATTCAGATAATATGAGCTGAATTTAATTATACACAAGACACACTCGTTTCTCAGAGACTTGTTCTATTCATTGGATTGGAGAAGTCTGTGGAAGATCATGTCCAATATATTCATGAGTCCTCTGAGAGATTCCACATTTTAGAAGCTGAAACCATCTGTTCAATTTAATACTCAGTATAGGATAAGATCCAGAAAGGAACACACACACAAAACACACACAATCTTTGGGGATGCACACCTATGTTTCCATCAAAATTCACTATTAGAAATTTACTTCAAAGAAACAGTGCCCTGTTCTTTGAACTTTGACAGAAAAATGCCATTATGTTTGTCTGCCTACCTGCCTGCCTATCTAGCTCTATCTAGTTCTGTCTATCTGCCTGCCCCCCCCTCTAACCATCTGTTTTTCTATCATATATCATCTAGCTATCATCTTCCCCTACTCCCTCAGCAATGGGTTTGTGTCAAAACTCAATTTGCTCCTTGGCCTTGGACAAAGTTAAAAATTATTTTGAGGGTTCTTTGAAGGCGGATCTGAAAAAGTAAACAAAGTTAGTTATAAGAATAGTCTGTGCAAAAAATAAATAAATAATCCCATGCTATGTCAGAAACAGAACTGAATGCTGCAGACAGACACTTTTGGGAAACACTTGAAGGTTGGATTCTTCACTGCCTTTGGTGTATGTTTCTGATAAAAAAAAATACTGCTGTAGGTTCTTATTCATTAGCTTGGGGAAATATTTGAACAGAGATACATATCACATGCAACGATCACTCTGTCATGCCAGCTTTCACTTTCATAAAATAAGATTCAGTTCATATCTCATGAGACATTTCTTGTAGCATTATACCTTAGTGTCCAGTCAATCAACATTTATGACTACTATTAGAAAATCTTTCCTATACAAAAATATTTAAAGGTTTATATTTAAAAACTGACTAAAACTGAATTTCTTTGTCTGTCTGTCTATCTATCTATCATCTAGAGACTATTCAACAATCACAGTTTCCTGGGAATTGAATAAATCAAAGCACTGAATGAAAAACAAACCTAATTAACAAAAAAATTAAAATAAAATGAAGAGTGACAACAATTCTGTTGTCAAGTCTGAAGGATCATTTCTATGGAAGCCACCATTTCTATACCTTTAGCCTTTAGTCCTCAACTTACAACACTACATTTAGTGACTGTTCAAAGTTAGAGCAATACTGAAAAAAGTGACTTATGACCATTTGTCACAGTTACGACCATTACAGCATCCTCATGGTCACATGATCAAAATTCAGATGCGTGGCCACTGACTCATATTTATTATAGTTGCAGTATTCCAAGGTCATGTGATCACCTTTTATGACCTTCTGACAAGCAAAGTCAACGGGGAAGCCAGGTTCACTTAACAACTGTGTTACAAACTTAACAGCTGCAGTGATTCACTTAACAACTGTGGCAAGAAAGGTCATGAAATGGGGCAACATTCACTTGACAAATGTCTTGCTTAGAAACAGAAATTTTGGGCATAAGTCAAGGGCTACCTGTATTCCATTTTATGTTTTAAGTCATTGTATATTAAAATGATCCATTGATCTGAACCGGGGGTGTCAAACTGCCAGCCTGCAGGCTGGTTGCATCATGCGGAGGCCACGCCCACCCCCCACCCCCCAGCTCCGGCAATGGGAAAAAAGTCACAATATGTCACGACACGTCACATGCCGCAGCGAGTTTGACACCCGTGATCTAAACTATATGATTAAAATTATCCAATATTAGCCACACTGATGTTTACCACTTTTACACCCAGTAAAAAATCCTGAGATAAGGCAAATGCAAATTTAATGTCTGTATTACGTTTAAAGTCAAATCTTAAAATACTGATTTCACTTGAAATATGAACAATGGCACTAACATATATGTATATCCAGTCATGGCATATAATCAACTACAGATAGCAGGGACACTGCCCAAAATTAATAAAAATAACTTTGAGGACATATGCTATTTAATTTATATTTTAGCAATAAATGCACATTAACCTATTTTCTGAGTGGAAAAGAATTCAGTTCAGCAAACTGCCAATGTCCTGGAGCAAATGAAAAATGTCTTCTATTTCTAACTGGCTGGGGAAAATACATTTTGATCTAGATTTCAGAAGAACTGGAAAAGGAATGATGAAAGGAAGAGGAGGAGGAGGAGGAGGAGGAGGAGGAGGAGGAGGAGGAGGAGGAGGAGGAGGAGGAGGAGGAGGAGGATGGTTCTGGAATAAACAATATGTTATAAATTATATTGGAAAGCCTACTGGCAGTTTTGCCTAAATGTGCTATAAAGGTAATCAAAATTAAAATGTGTTTCTGTATGTGCATGCAGAGATAGATACTGATCCTCACTCTCTTAATTTGAAAATATCTACATGCACATCTTAATTGTTAAATTTCTTCAGTATTATTTGTAGTATTAATTTTAATTCATGATTTTCAAAAATGTATATTGTGTTTCCCTTTTTAATATTGGTTAGCTATTCTAAATACTCAGCAGATGAAAAAAGCAAATATATGTTATCGTACACAATGTACACACAACTGCAGTATAGAAAAATTCTTAATAATATGATATAATCCTTGATAAAGAAGAGTTTTATCATTATCATTAGTGTGATATAAAAACAAATTCTGAATCTTTAGTAGAAAGTCACATGAACAAAGTATGTCTCTTTTGAAATGCATTGTTTGGGAATGGATGTGGAAAATAATCACAAATTAATAACATATAAAGTGGGTGTGTTAATGAAAATCTTGAGAATTATTGAATAATCGTTTTTGTTGAAACACTATTGTGGCTGTACCAGAAATAAATTTGCTTTCTGGCTGCATAAAAGTTCCGTGTCAAGTCTTTATACACAAATATTCCCAGGATTTTTCTATTTCATGTTTACCTTCAAATAATACTTTTCAGTCTATTTTATATGATTTAGACCATTTCCTGCAATGACACTGATTCAACATCATCATTATTATCATTGTTATTTTACTTTCTATATTACTTCTTATTTGCCATTAGCCAAAAAATAAGTAACTGGCTTGGTGAAATTAATGAATGAATCAATAATTTAATTGGTATGATTAAATGGAAGTCAAGGAAAACTAACTGGAAAATATCATAAGTAAGTCAGTCTTGAAATTTATTTGGAAGAACATGACAATACAACATGATGAGTTTTGATTATTTTATTTAATTATACCTATCCATCCATTTTTTTTAGAACCACTGGCATAGTGGTTCTAAATTTTCTATTTGATAAAAGGAAAAGAATAGTCGTTATACCCTAACATAGACAAACCCTCACATTCCTCATCCTAGCCTTGTAGACCATTTCTCAAAACATTTCTTAAGTCAAGGCTGACTTTTGATTGACTCTTGTATTCATGATTAGGATTAGAACTAAATGTAGTTCATGTGGCTTTATTGCCAACAATATAGAAGTATTTTGCAGTTGCCTACTTTTAGCCCCAGAACATTTTGGTGGTCTCTTATCTAAGTATTAACCATATCCAATCCTGTCTAGCTTTTAGCTCAATCGAGGCCAGGTGGGTGCTTCCATGTAACTGAACATCACCATAATATTTTTCAACTCTCTAGAATCATATAGGATATGTTACAATGGGAAAGATTGTGACTTTAGCAGTAATAGAAAATTGCTCAGTGGAAATCACTATCTCAGCTTGCTTGTTTCTCATTCACAAGAGGTACCCATTAGTGCAATTAGAAATTACAATAATCAAGCATTGCATCCCAATATAAAATAAAATAGTATCTCACCTTTCAAAACAAAACTGGAACTTTGGTTTATAGGAACCGGTTATGCCCATATGCCTTCCTCATCATCCTGCCAGCCAGACAGTAGGAGGTAGATTGAAGTATTAACATTGGAATAAAAGAAGAAACAATTAGTTATCTCAGTGCAGTTGAAGGTCTATTAATCTTTGGTGATGAAAGTTTAGGTTCTCAAAGACAATGGAATGAAATGTAAGCAACAATTATTTTCCTTCCTAGAATTTTTCCCGCAAGGGCAGGTTCCATGATCAATCAAGTGCTGATCATTGCAAAAGACAGAAATTCAAAAATGTAGTGAAACATGGCTTGACAAGAGTTACAATTTTGCATCAATAAAATATTATGAACCTGATTAGGTAAGAACAAGTAAATAAGTTCATAATTCTTTCAGAGAACACCATTGCTAACTATACCTATCAGCATTATGATTATCCATTGGTCTTATTTCTGAGGAGGGTATAAAGAATTTTACTTAACATGACTATTTAAGTGAATATATTAGTAACTATTTTAATGAATCATTTTAGTTCTGTATAGCATAGAAATATACTATAGTGATGGTCAAAAGAGACTATATTTACTGAGGCAAATATAGAAATAGAATCATCTGGCTGGAAGGGACCTTGGAGATCTTCTAGTCCAACCCCCTGTCCAAGGCATGAATCTTTATTCCATTATAGACAGATGGTTGTCCAATCTTTTCTTGAGAATCTCCAAGGATGGCACATCTGTAACTCTGGGAGGTATGTTGATTCTTACTGTTAAGAAATTTCCCCTTAATTCCAGTTTGGGTCTCACCCTGACTTTCATCCATGCTCCTCAAATGCTTTGGAAAATAAATCAACCCCCTCTTCCCATGATAGTCATTTCAAGTATTGGAAGATGGCTATCATGTCACTGTCTCTTCATTAGATTAAACATATCTAGTTCCCTTAGCCTTTCATTCTACAGTTTAGCATCCAGACCCTTCATCATCTTTGTTGCTCTTCTCTGCACTCTTTCTAGGGCCTCAACATCATTTTTGTATCATGGTGACTAACTGGCTTTTGCTCCAGCTGTATCTCTCCTCCCTCACACACATCCTTCAACCCCAAATGTTTCCTCTATGTCTAAAGATGGGAGCGGAACAAGTGTGGGACTGAGCAGAGACAGCAATGTTGGTACAGTCCTAAAGAATGTACTCTTATAAAAAATGTGAATCTAAAGGAACTTTGCCTGATAGGAAACATGCTCCACTTCTCTCAAGATGCCAACAATTTTCTGCTCCAAGTGCAATTTTATGAGCTTCATTGCATGTAGTTCCAGAATTTTACTTAACCATTTAGAATTATTCAGAATGTATTTATTTAGAATAAATACTGTTCCAAACTACCCTAATATGAATGAGATCCTGATTTTTTTTTTTTTTTTGCTTGACTGAAGTTGAAAATTACCTTGCTTTTTTTTCTTTTGTAAGGATTTTATTTTTATGTGTGTAACATAAAATAGAAACTGTCAGAATAGTATTAGAGGGCAGAATTAAATTAGTGTGGTTTTGAGAACAAAGAATTTTCCAGCTGAGAGATTACTTGATTTAAAAAGAAAAGGAAAGAGGGAAGAAAGATGGCTTGAAAATGCCTGCTTTTTCAGGATAAATCTGTTGAATACATTTAAAGGAATTACTGTGTTGAATATTAATGATCATGGATTCTACTGAATTTTTCTCAGGCAGATAGTAATTGTTCTATTCTAATTCTTCTGCCTGGATTACAATTGCAGTCAGATGTTAAATAATTTCCCAGGATGGGATCAAATCTTTCTAAGCTGTTGAATACTCTCTTTCTAGGATGTTTGTCATGCAATATTATATTGTTTCTTCTCACTAAAAACAGTTAAGTATGTTTTTTTCTGTGGAAACGGTTAAATGCCCTATTCTTGTTCACCTGTTCAGGTAATTCTTCAGAAAACATTTAGTATACGGCACTGGTAAAAATAATGCACATATTAGATGATGCAAAATGCTATTCTTCAAGCATTGTTCTGCAGGAAAAGTGATAAAGATTCCCTCTAGATTAGGTCAACTTCATGTTGTTTTGTTGACTACCTATCTATCTATCTATCTATCTATCTATCTATCTATCTATCTATCTATCTATCTATCTATCTATGTCTATATACATATATATAAATAAATCTTCAACAATGATTTGGATGAAGGGATAGATAGGGAACTCATCAAATTTACAGATGACACCAAGCTGGCAGGAATAGCGAACACTCCAGAAGATAGGCTTAACATACAGAAGGATATGGGCATTATCTAACAAAATGAAATTCAGTGGTGAAAAAAGTAAGGTTCTACATTTAAGCAAGAAAAATCAAATGCACATGTATAGGTGGCACCTTCCTCAATAGTAGTAACTGTGAGAGGGATCTTGGAGTCCTAGTGGACAATCACTTAAATAAGTGCTGCAGCTGCCAAAATAGTCAACACAGTGCTAGGATGTATTAACAGAGGGATAGAATCAAGATCACATGAAGTGTTAATACCACTTTACAATGCCTTGGTAAGGCCACACTTGGAATACTGCATCCAGTTTTGATCACCACGATGTAAAAAAGATGTTGAGACCCTAGAAAGAGTACAGAGAAGAGCAAAAAAGATGATTAGGGGCCTGGAGGCTAAAATATATAAGGAATGGTTGCTGGAATTGGGTATGTCTAGTTTAATGAAGAGAAGGACTAGGGTGATATGATAGCGGTGTTCTAATATCTCAGGGGTTGCCACAAAGAAGAGAGAGTGAAGCTATTCTCCAAAGCGCCTGAAGGCAGGACAAGAAGCAGTAGATGGAAACTAATCAAGGAGAGAAGCAACCTAGAACTAAGAAGACATGTCCTGACAATTAGAACAATTAATCAGTGGAATGACCTGCCTCCAGAGGTTGTGAATGCTCTAATACTCGAAATTTTAAAAAGAGACTGGACAACTATTTGTCTGAAATAGTATAGAGTTTCCTGCCTGAGCAGGGGGTTGGACTAGAAGACCTCCAAGGTCCCTTCCAACTTTATTATCATCATCATCATCATTGTCATCAACATCATCACCATTATATATTATTATTATTATTATTATTATTATTATTATTATTATTATTATTATTATTATTATTTACTTGTTAAATTGATTTGCCACCTGTATTAGCATAGCATAACACAACATAGCACATCATCATATTATATTATATATTATATGTAAAGATAAATGTAAAGGTAAAGATTTCCCTGTCCCTGTCTGACTCTAGGATATGGTGCTCATCTCTGTTTCTTGGTTTACAGAGCCAGCATTGTCTGAAGACATTTTCTGTGGTCATCTGGCCAGCATGACTATATGCCAAAAGTGCACGGAATACTGCTACCTTCCCACCAAAGTGGTAACTATTAATCTACTTGCATTTGCATGCTTTTGAACTGCTAACTGGGAAGGAACTGGTGCAAGTAATGGGAGCTTAACCCATTGTGTGGCACTCAGGTCTCAAACCCAGGCTGTCAGCTTTGCAATTGACAAGTTTGGCATCTTTAATTGCTGAGCCTTATATTATTAGTGTAGTGTAGTGCAGTGCGGTGCAGTGCAGTGCAGTATATAGTATATTCCTAATAATACTATATATATTTCCCAAGCTGTAGCACTGAGATGTCTTGGTGTTTACTCATCCAAACAATAACCAAGTCCAGCCCTGTTTAGCTTTCTGAGATCAGCTAAGGTCATCTAGTGACAGCTCCTTTGCTGAGCAAGACAGAGTAGAAAACAAATAAATTTAGATACTATTAGGACAGAAAGAAAGATTCCCTTTCTAAAAAACACTTGAAAATTTTCTTGGAAAACTTCAGTAAAATGCCTATCTCCTCAGTATCTCTGCTCACAAATAAGATACAGAATCTGCCTACATCTTAGATATTTTTCAAATGAAATACTTCTGGAATATTTGCTTGGACCTAAGATCAATTAAAAATGCCTTACAACACAATTGTCACAAGTTTGATGATTTGCTTCTGCTTCTTCAGTTAAAAAAATCTTGCCTGACAAGACTTGTAATAGATGCCTTTCATGTCCTTGAGCACAAAGAATTAACATCTCAACTTAAAGTAAATCTAGTGAAAATAATGTACTCATCTTATGAAATAGTGTTTGTTTTTTTTCTCCCAAAAAGCATGGCGTAAGGGGGTTAGTATAAGACATCCTATTCTTGTCTTCTGCCTGTAACTGGTGGTTTGAGCTGTCAGACATGTTACTACTGGCCCCAGGCCTGTGAAAGCTTTCTAGCACTTGCAGACAATTTTACTTTTTTTAACACAGTGATTGCCAAACAAGGAATTTCATTTCTCACTCACTGTGACCTGAAAGGACTCCAATTTTCTATCATATATAGGACCCTCAAAAGCAAAATCTCAGAAGGTGTTAATCTTCAATATACAAGAAACAAGAAGGTCAAACAGAATGAAGTAAAAAAATTCTTTCATTCATTTGGTTTATATCCCACCTTTTCTCAAGCCAGCTTACATAAAGAGCCTGCTTCATTTTATTCCCCCAATGTTGTGTTGCAAAAGAATGACAGCCCAATATCACCCTTATCTGAGCTTTGGTCTTCCCAGTTCTACTCCTGTATCTTAACTACTCTATCCTATTGGCTCTATCTAACTATGAGTTTTATGAATCTCCTGGAATTCTTTTGTGACTTTATACCAGTGTTGGGAATTAAATCAGTCCAGAGATTTTTGTATGACACAAACTAGCTTAATAAAACTATGCTACAATCAGTTGACAGTAGCTGTACAAAAAAATAGATACATAAACTTTGGCACATCAATGGTTAATTTGAAGTTTGCTTGATCCATTTGCTAGTGGTCAGACTCTGGCTGACTGTGCAGTTTTCCAATGGCATAATTAATCTGTTTACTTCCTTCATTAATTAGATACTGCTATATATATATATTAATCCCTCCATCACTCTGTTCTCCATCACTTCTGTTATTCTCCATCACTTGTTATTCCATAGTGTTCTTACTATTTAAGTATCACTTGTACTGTTTATTTAAAGCTAATATTTTCCCATCAACTTGATTGCCAATGGTTAATGTAGCCAGTTTTTACTTAAATAAAAATGCCCAGAGATTTGCAAATATTACCTTGGGCAAACCAAGACATTCTGAAAATATGTCCTTATAAGAGACTAATTTAGTCTCTTATAGTCTAGATAGAATATTCACATTTTACCCTTTCTGTATACAACCTCCTGAAGCATTATCTAATAACCTCTAATAAAATTCATCCAGTTTTTAACTAGGTAATAAAAAGCCCTGAAATACACACTGAACCTCTCTCTTTTCTTTTTAGAAATAAATCTAATTCTCCTATTAAGCAATGCCCTCTTTGTATTTATATGTTAACATTGATCCACCTGTCATTTCCTCCATCTCATTAGATCTCTATTTTCAGCAACATTTCCCTTCAAACAAAAAATATTTTGTCTTATTTTTATGTGCATTGGACCATGGAAAACTGAAGGATAATTTATATGGCTATAGATGTTATGCTTTTCTCCTAGTTTCTTCTAATATACACTTTGTTAGCAATTTTGTATGTTATATACTTTTTTAAACATGCATTTTGAATTCATTTTTAAAGTTATATGCAATGTTCTCACACTCTCCACATGCAACTCGTCATACCTTAATTGACAACATTTAAAAAAGGATCTATCTGGATTCAAATCCGTAATTTTGATTGGGGACTGTTAATTAGACCAGTTGCTGTTCACATGTGCATTCTACACATTTTCCAAACCAAGCCCTTCCTCAGATGAATGGAATGGTGAGCTCAGCTTGTAGTTCTATTAAAGGAACCTTGGACTGTTCAAAAGTGAGATATCAACATTGACCAATAATCAAAGATGAATAAGAACAAAACTCTTGCCAAGATCTCTTTGAAAAGTGTGTTCAGAGCGTGGGTGGGGTATTACAGAGCGAAATGTGGAAAGTCATTCAGTGCAGTAGTAACAAAAGTTTTATTTCATGTTGGTCGAGATGAGGAAATGACTTTTTCATGAAAGAATCTCTCTCTTTCAACACCTATCACCTTTCTTTGTTCAGTAGTTGGTTTTTCTTCTTTTGAACAGACTCTGTAGGGAATAAATAAGGAACCAACATGATGTAGTCGTTAAGGTGCTGGATAGGACTGAGGAGACTCAGGTTTAAGAAAACCCTCAGCCATTCTTAAAATCACTCTTTCTTCACTTAATGTATCCCACAAAGTCATTGTTTGTGATACAGTTGGAGAAGGAAGTGCTCTGTATACGGCCTTAATTGCTTAGAAGAAAGTGAAGGTATATACAGTATCTAACAAATAAAGCAAGGGTTTTTTTTTTTTTAAAGATCTTGCTCCCTCACCAGATTGCAAGCAGCACAGTGGCTCACTTGGTTAGGGCACTGGGTTGACAATCAGTAAGCCCACGTTTGAGACCTGAGTGCTACTGTGTGATGGTGATTTGCTCCAGCTCCTGCCAACCTAGCAGTTTGGAAGCATGCAAGCTTGAGTAGATAGCTACCATCTTGGTGGGTGCATTAATGGGGACATGAAAGAAGCCCGCTGGGCAATGGTGATGTCACTGCCTAATCCTGTCAACCCAGAAATGCCTGGTGCTTCCGGCATGAACATAAGTGACCAGATGGCATGGATATGCTAAGTTATTTCATTTCTTTTGCCCAGAATTTGGATTCTTCCCTTAATCTCAGCTTCCCACTATTTTTTTCCTTATCTATTTGTGGAAAAGGCAGACATTTTATGGATAATATAAATCTTTGATATTTGAAGTTTTTTTGAATAGGAGAAACAAATAACATTGTTTTGTTAATTTAATATTAAAGGACATAGAGCCACTTAAGGAGATAAACCTTTTGTTAATATTGATTATCACATTCAGCTCAGTTAATTCTTTTTTTAGCAACTGAGTTCACGAAACAAAGCCAGAATAGATTATATCTGTGTAGATCAGCTATCTAAGCAACCAAATCTCATTTCTCCATTAAAAAGCAATTCTTCAAAAATATTTTAATGGTTACACTGAGATCCTTCAAAAGTGCTATGAAAAGAAGAAGGAAGAAATCATAACAAAAGGAAGAAAAAATACCAAAGGAGGAGAGAGGAAGGAAAATGTTTGGATTCTCTCAGTGATGGAAATAAATAACAAAGCTATTCATTTCAAAGAGCAGATAAATTATATTGTTTATTTTTCTCTTTGAACCTTTATTTTGTCTTGAAAATTGCCCTGGTTAAGAGGTATAAAGTATAAAAATTAAATCAAGAAGAGTGGTGCCTCACCTGTTCTGGAGAGGGTCTATGATTGGAGTGTGTTCTTCCAGGAGATCTGTGATGGTGGTGGTGGTGATGGTGGTGGTAGTGATGATGGTCATCATCATAGTTGTCTGCCATCAGTTTCATTCTGTTCTGAGTCTGAAGGAAATAAAAAAAAACACCAAATGCTAGAATGCATTAGACAATATCTCTACTATGAGGCCAACATTTCTTCCTCTAATGAAGTATGTGGTATGAAATATGTGGTAGCTGGTTATCAGGAATTATCTGAGGCTGGAAAAGGTAGTCACCTGTTTGTGTGTTTAATAACTTGCATGGATCCACCAACAAATCAAATTTCAGAATTATCTCTATCGTGATTACCTGTGAATTTCAAGAATATTTGGCTTTTTAAGCTGAAAAATAAACTTTTTTTCCATGATAACTAACAGTATGGAACTACTACAACACAACCTGAGCAGTCCTCAAGAACTGAGTAAGAATGAGTAAGAATATGCTAGAGATAGATAGATAGATAGATAGATAGATAGATAGATAGATAGATAGATAGATAGATAGATAGATGGAACGAACGAACCTATGTAGTCATCTCATGGAATCAGCAGGAAAGCTTAAACATCAACCTTCATGGACTGAATACTTTTCTACAAGCCCCACATCCTTCCATAAATTTTAATACTGGACCATAAAACATAAATTAAGAGAAATATGCTTCAGAGATTGAATATTTATTTATTTATAAGAAATCATATTTCTAAAAACCACATATTCTGAACAATGCACAAAGTCTAGCCATGGATCACACCTCTTTTATTGAAAGCATTGCATTTTGCATTTCAGATTTATCATTGGATAAATGCAGTGTAAAGATTTAGAGCAAATGGGCCTAGTAGGTAAACATAGGAATCCAACTTTCTAGCTCTACAAATATAACCTAAATAGTTGATGACTCCTCTTGGCCAATAATCTAGAACAGGCATGACCAACTCACGATGTCATGTGACATCACGTGATGTATCGTGACTTTTTCCCCATTGATGGCAATAGGGTGGGGGTGGTTTCAGTGTGACGCATCTGGCCCATGGGCTGGCAGTTTGACATGCCTGATCTAGAACATGCAGGATGTGTGGGCTAATAAGAGAAAAGTAGAAAACATTTATCAAACTTAATCTCTCTTTTAATATGAATTGATGACTGACATTCCAAACTTGTGCACTTATTTTTACTGATTTGCAGTCATAATGTTTTATAGAATCTGAAACCTATCCCCCAATCCTATAGTGAGAAATCCCTTTTCAATCTACACAGCATCTAGTCGATTTTAAGGATTGGCCTTCTCAAATAAATCGTCTCTGACTAACAAAGCAAAGCAAAACAAAAAATTCTACAAGGAAGTAGGGAAACAGATGATCTTAATTTTTTAGCAACCGGTTTTCTAAGAAAGGGCACCTCTAATGCTTACCCTATTTCTTCTTTGAATTTTTCAAACATTTTTATTTGTTTATTTTCTTATTAGTGAACAGCTTTAAATTTCCTATCTTTCAACTATATCCTATAAAAATGCACAAGTTAAACAAGAAGATATATGCAATCCTGAAAGTGTTTCCTATAATGAGGTGTTGGGGATTAAACTTGTCATGGAGTAAGAACTGTGAATGAATGATGCCATTTTCTTAATATAGTGCTGAAACATAAATAAAACACTTTTAATATTGATTCTTGCTGAATCCAAACCATTGAAAAGCAAACAGAAAACTACAGCTAACACAAAGCATGATACACTGAGTAGAGCAGCTATATAAATTGATTAAATGAAGGAACATTAAAATATTTCACGGTATAATTATTCTTCTGAAGTCTTTTTTCAGTGTAACTGCATCCTATCTTTTGATTAATATCAAATTATGTGAGAACTTTCTGATAAAAAAAACATTGTTTTGCTGACTTACACATTGGCTAGAATAACAGGAACATGCAAAGTTTAAGATCACATTTTGGCTTCTCTTATGGTACTTTCATAAGAAATATACATTTATATTCATGATGCTTAACTTGGACATTGCATCTTCAGTGGTTTCAAGCTTCCAAATATGACACAATCTGATGTCTTATTTTAGGGGGTGAAACGGGAAAAATAAAAGCATCTGGAAAATATGGGATAATTATTATTTTTTCAATCATTTAAATTAAATACTGTGAAATATTGCAGCTCTGACTAATTCCTTTTAAGAGTCAGAAAGCTTTGTAATGCCAGGTATAGTTTTATTTCAGGAAGAAATTAATTAACTAGATTGGAATTTGTCCAGAACCTCAAGGGATCTACACTTGAGAAACAAAAAAGCAATGGGACTTTTATTGACCCCATATGTTTAAAAGCTTAGGGGAAAAAATAAAAAAAAATAAGCATGCTTCCAAATGTACTGGGTCTCTTGACAATGTGATGAAAAATATTGATCTGGAGGGAAGAGTGCCACCTACTGATTTTTTTCTGCCACCATTTCCTGTAGTTTCATGATTTTTTTAAAAAATACATTGAAGTTTCCAGTTAGCATTGGACAGAATAAAACTAATCTGTTTCCAGTGAGTATCGGACAGAATAAAATTACCAATCTTGAGTTAGTAATATATCTATGAACATGTACTTTGGTATCTCTTCGCTTTTATGTTTTAGAAAATATGGTTAATTAAGGTTTAACTTCTTCAATTAGTTTTGTAACTAATATTCAGTAAGTTCAATGTTACAGATGATGACTCAGTAACACTTATCTTTTTCTTCAAAACATTTTGACTTTAGCCTGTAAAACCTGATTTCAGTTGCTTTAAGTATAATGGCAGTTTTAATTCTAAATTTAACTTCATATTTTGTTTTGTGTTTCAGTATTAAGGATTTCACTTAATCAGGAAGTAACAACAATATTACACAGAATGAAAAGACACAAGTGGGACACATTATTTCCCTTTTGTGCAAAACCTTTAAGAATCATGTCTGACCAAATGCTTATGGAAACTTGCAGTGGGAATTACGCACACGTAGGAAGAGGACAAGGGGATCAGATACATAAACAGTTATACTCTGGAAAAATATGCTTTTGAATAAATAATTCCTCCTTGGCAACATATTCTCCTGGCTATACTTAATCTGATATTTCACTTAGCAGAGCCAAATTATAACAAAGGAATTGATCCTTAAGGATTATCACTTCATGGAGCAAGTCTCTGGATAATACATTCTGCAACTTATCCTGTTAGCAACCAAATAATGAAAATCATATTGTAATGTAAGCTTGGCTCTTAAGGCCATCTTCAGACATCATGTGTTTAGTTCAGGTCTCAGTAGAAAAAGGTCTGAACTAAAAGTTTTTGATGATTATGCTAATGTTCTTTAAATATCTGATATATGAAAAATCAGTTAGAAAACAAATGCAAGGGGTGCTGGAATATTTATATACCATTTTAAAACTTATTTAAAAGAGCAATGAAAGTGGCATCCCAATCTCCTAGAGAATATCACTTACAGGTTCATAATTAGAGTAAGAGTACAGGTTAAAAGCCGAATATAATTAATTTTTTTAAAAATGCAACTGGATAATATTTACACTGGCATAACATTTCCCTTTCTAACAAAGCTCACTGAGCAAGTGGCCTTACATACCCCAAGAACAGGAACAAACCTTTTTAACTTTCTATGTTTTTTAAAAAAGTATTATATCAGATTCAGCCAAGATCCTGTGGGTTACAGAATGCTAGTGAAAAATAGATCCACAAAAAGCATGGAAAACAATTTATTTGGTTTTGGTTTTTCATAACTGCCTGCTGAGAGTATGTCAATTTCACACTAGAATAGAATAGAACAGAACAGAATAGAATAGAATAGAATAGAGCTGGAAGGGACCTTGGAGGTCTTCTAGTCCAGCCCCCTGCTCAAGCAGGAGAATAATACCATCTCAGAAAAGTGACTGTCTAGCCTCTTTTTAAAAATCTCCAGTGATGGAGTGTCCACAATTTCTGGAGGCAAGCTGCTCCACTAGTTAATTGTCCTCACTGTTAGGAAGTTTTTTCTTAATTCCAGGTTGCTACTCTCCTTGATCAGTTTTCATCCATTGTCCTTCCCTCTGGTGCTTTGGTGAATAACCTGACCCCCTCTTCTTTGTGGCAGCCTCTCAAATACTGGAACACTGCTATCATGTCTTCCCTATTTCTTCTTTTTTAAAGACTAGCCAAACCCAAAGCCTGCAGCTGTTCTTAATATATTTTAGCCTCCAGGCCTTTGATCATCTTAGTTGCTCTTCTCTGAATTTTTTCCAAACTCTCAACATCTTTTTTGTGATATGGTGACCAAAATTGGCTGCAGTATTCCAGGTGTGGTCTTACTAGGGTTTTATAAAGCAGTACTAATACCTCACGTGATCTTGATTCTATGCTGCTATTTATACAACCCAGGATGGTATTAGCTTTTTTGGCTGCTGCTGCAAACTCCTGACTCATAGTCAAGTGATCATCCACTAGGATTCCAAAGTTCCTCTCACAGTTACTGTTTTTAAGCCAGGTCTCACCTAATCTAAACTTGTACCTTTGATTTTTTTCTGCCTAAATGTAAAATTTTGCTTTTTTCCACATTCAAACTCATTTTGTTGGGTAGGGCCCATTGTTCAAGTTTGTCAAGATCTTTTTGGATCCTGAGTTTGTCTACTGGGTTGTTTAAATGCAACCCATGCCATCTGTCTATCTAGACCAGGGGTAGGCAAACTTGGCTCTTTTATGACTCATGGACTTCAACTCCCAGAATTCCTGAGCCAGCATGGCTCAGCTTGGAAACCTCTCCCTTTCCCCTCAGCATGGCTGGCTTAGGAATTCTGGGCATAAAAGAGCCAAGGTTGCCTACCCCTGATCTAGACCATGGGTTTGCCTTCTTGCTATAGAAAAAAAATGCTCCCCTTCTTTTATGGTGCTATTAATGTCTTTTTCCCAGTATAATTGCCACATGAAGGAGATTTTTCATTAATACAGGCAACTAGAAAGTGAAAAGAAAAAAAAACGTATTAAATGTTGTTCAACCCATCTCACTCATACAGGATCTCTGAACAGCTTACAAGGTTGAAAAATGACAAGGTTAAAAAAAAAAGACAATTAAAATAAGC